TTTGTCAATGCTAGGCCATTCTAGGTATATGTCGTCGGTTGATTTGCGCAGCGCATTCTGGCAAATTCCCCTGGACGAAAGTTCCAAGGAAAAAACCGCTTTTTCAGTTCCTTCACGTGGACTTTTTCAATTTGAGGTAATGCCTTTCGGTTTAGCTAATGCAGCTCAGTTTCAACAGCGCCTAATGGACGCCATTTTCGGGCCAGAATTAGAGCCAAATATTTTTGTGTACCTGGACGATTTAATCATAGTAAGTTCCACCTTTGAGGAGCATATTAAATTACTTCATGAAGTAGCCAAGCGTCTAAAAGACGCCAAATTAACTGTTAATTTCGAGAAATGCGAATTTTTCAGAGATTCATTGAAATATTTAGGATTCATCATTGATAAATTTGGTTTACGGACTGATCCTAACAAGGTCAAAGCGATGGTTGAATTTCCACAGCCTCGCAATACTACAGAAATCAAACGGTTCACAGGTATGTGCAGTTGGTACCGAAGATTTATTCCTCATTTTTCTACCCTTATGGCTCCTATCAATGATTTATTAAAAAACAAAAAAAAAGGTCAGAAAATCAATTGGTCAGCTAATGCAGAACAAGCATTCAAGGACATAAAGCAAGCTTTAGTTTCAGCACCAATTTTATCCAGTCCGGATTTTTCACTCCCATTCACAATACAGTGTGATGCATCTGACTCAGGCCTAGGTTGCGTTTTAACCCAGATTCAAAATGATCATGAGAGGGTGATAGCATTTGCTTCACGAAGTCTTTCCAAAAATGAACGCAATTATACAGTCACTGAGAAGGAATGTTTAGCATGTATCTTTGCTTGTGAAAAATTTAGAGGGTATATTGAAGGGGTGCATTTCACTTTAATTACTGACCATGCTTCACTCAAATGGATGTTCAACATCAAAGAACCCATTGGTAGAATTGCTAGATGGAGTGTTCGTTTAAGTCAGTTTGATTTTAGTATACAGCATAAGGCTGGAAAATTGAATGTGGTACCTGATGCTTTATCTAGAAGCCCAGTAGAGCCAGCTACTGAAGAAACTGATAATATTTGTTTATTAGATAGGGAAGATGAAAGTATCAACCTTGAAATTAGTTTGGACAAATTAGAGCCGTTCTATGAAAATTTGCGGAAGAAAATTCTAGAAAACCCTGAGGACTATCCACAGTGGTCTGTGAGAAATAATTTTGTTTATAAGCTGGTACCTTCCAAATGTCCTGTTAGCTCAAATATTTCAGATTGGAAACTTTTAGTGCCGAAGTGCCAACGTACCGAAATTATCAGGTTATGTCATGATGTTCCAACTTCCTCTCATATGGGTTACTACAAAACTTTCAGTAGAATTAAATTGACTTATTATTGGCCAAAAATGAGGCAAGACATTTTCCGGTACATAAAAACTTGTAAAGTCTGTTCTGCACAGAAGTCACCGAATTATGCTAAATTTGGGTTAATGGGGGCTGAGAAAAAGGTTCGATTTCCATGGCAAGTGATAGCACTTGATCTCATGGGTCCTTTTCCTCGTACTTCCAGTGGTTATCAGTATATTTTAGTAGTTAGCGATTGGCTAACCAAATACCCGGTTTTGTGTCCTCTTAGAAAAGCTACTTCGGCTAGTATAATTAAATTTTTAGAAAACGAGATTTTCCTTGTCTATGGTGTTCCACAACATATTATCTGCGATAATGGGAGGCAGTTAATTAGTAAATCCATTAAAGAACTGGTTAAAAGTTATGATTCTAACATTTTTTATACCGCCTACTATCATCCGCAGGCAAATTATGTTGAGAGAACAAATAGAACAATTTGCACAGCTATACGCAGCTATATAAATAAAAATCATAAACTATGGGACAAAGAATTGGCAAAAATTGGTTATGCTTTACGAACTAGTGTGCATGAGGTGACTGGATATAGCCCTGCATTTTTAAATTTTGGGAGAGAAGTACCAGGTAGTGGTCAATATTATGGGAAGGGTAATATGGATATTAATGTGGTTAATCGCGATTATTGGATTCAAAATTTAGGTAAAATTTCAGAAATTTATGAAGATGTTCAGAATAAAATTCACGCTGCTCATCAGAAAAACGCTAAGTATTATAATCTACGCAGACGTGATAAAGAATTTTTTGTTGGAGACAAAGTTTGGAAGAAAAATTTTGTTCTTTCTAATGCGGGTAATAACTTTGCTCAGAAACTTGCTCCACGTTTTGTACTTTGCACAGTAGCAAAGAAAAAGTCGAAATTAGTTTATGTCCTTAAAAATGAAGATGGCTCTAATGCCGGAGTTTGGCACATACAAGACTTGAAACCCTATCATGGGTCGATGTCCGACCTCTCTGAGGAAGAGACGGGATCTGTAGCATCAGATTAAAATTTTTTTGCCAATCAGCAATAGCTCAACGCAGATTTGAAGTACCTAAGTTGTATATACTAGTAGTTAAGGGTAGGTAAGGACTTAGCAAAAGTTAAGATTTAGGAGTAAGATAGTATAGGGCGCGCCTAATTTAAGTTGTATATATGTAAAAATGAATTCTCTATTTTTAATGAGGAACTTTACGACCTTTCCTAGGGGTAGTATTCAGACGAAAAATTTCTTTGGCAGACATTTTTCTTTTTTTCAGTAGGGGGGTGAGTGTAACGTGAAAATTGCCTTTCCTCGAATTTTCAGTTCCATCTTTATAATTCACATATAAAAGCATTGAGACACTGTATCTAAAATTCTTTATTTATATTCAATATTTACTTGACGCTAGATAATAATGATGAGCCCTCAGTTGATCAGACTTCTACGACCTGAAAATAGAATTAAACATAATTATTTGATCGAATAATAATTGAAAAGTACTCACTTGTTTTGAGATTGTCTTCTCCCTCGGGGTCTGTTTTTTGTTGCTTCTGAGATTACTTCCAAGATGTTGATTCCGATGGATGTTTGGCCTCAGTACATTATTTAGCTCGTATATTTCCAATTTCCTGCCATAGGTGATGGTCCTGATGATAAAATGTGTAATTTCAATGATTATTTCTTTGTTTATTATTGTTTAGCTGTCATTGAAATATTGGAATTTCATTTGACATTTTTTGACAAGTGATTGTCAAATTGTCAAATGGGAAGGACAAGGTTACCTGCGCGGAACAGTTGGAAGTTGAGGACGGAACATCTGGCAGCCGGAATGCTCTTGATACTTTCTGAAATACTGGCGCGAGTCACCCATTGGAAGGCGAAGAGTCTTGTTCTGTGTATTTTTCAAGGTCGTCACATCTGTTCATCCTGGTCCTATGGAATCCTAGTCGGAAGAAGTCGGGGATGCTCGGTTGTTTCGTAGCTGTCATTTCATCCTGGGCGAATCACAAGTCAGCATTTTAGTCACATGTAGGGCGCTTAACGCCATCATGTATTTCCTCTAGTGCGCAGAGATAGCATATTAGTTGTATCCTGTTTTTTTATAATTAATGTTTGGCTGAAAAGTCCTGAAAAGGCGCAGGAGGCTATCCCTCCCAAAATTTCGAGACGCCACTTCGGCATTCGATCTGGTCAAGATGGGCATCGAAGATTATTTCTTAAGGAACTTTTCCGAAAGTGAGGCCTTTCCTTCTTGGGGTAAGTTTTTGAACCTTTCAAAATCAAGTGTTTCCTTCCACCTATTTGGTTGGTTAGTTTCTATTTGTGATCTATTCCTATAGATCTGTGGGCCTCCTTGGTAACCCCGGTCGACCACGCGGCCATTTTGTGCTCACGCCTAAAAGGCTCCATATCTGGGACTGAAGACGTTTTGAGGGGTCAACGGACTCCGCTGGTCTACAAAACTCCGCAGGATCCCGATACTTCTCTGGCTCGTTTGCCTCCTCAGGCATCGCCGGCTCGTCAGGCATCGCAGGCTCGTCAGGCATCGCAGGCTCGTCAGGCCGCGCAGGCTCGTCAGGCATCTCAGACTCACCTTCATACCTCGCCGACTCATAGGACTCAGAATCCGCAGGCACTTCAGAATTGGCAGGATCTTCAAGATTCTCAGGCTCTACAGACTTTGCAGGCTATTCAACCTTCGACTTGGGTTCACCACTCTGTGCAGAGTCTTCAACTGGAACCTGCCCACTGCTGGTTACAGATTGGACTGGAGTCTGCTCTGCTGGAGCTCATCAGGAGACACCTACCCCCGACTGTCCTGGGTCATTCTGTCCCACCATCTCTCTCCTGGGACCTGGGGATTGGAGAGTCTGGCTGATCAGGCTGGATCCTTGGCTAGGGTGCCCTTCTGCTAGTAATCCCTACTAGCATGGTCTGAGTAAGAAAGCGACCCAGATTTTAAGTTATCACACTTACTATGGAATTTAGCATATATTGAGGATGTCTACATATATAGTATTCTTCTCCACTATGTTTTTATAATATTTGATATTTCAAAATGGCAATTTTTCATTTCTAACATAATAATAATATGTGCACCCAACTTATAGTACTATAAAAGGGGATATCTAAGGTTCATAAATGCAAAGGTTACTAATGATAATATTTATTGAGAATATCTTGAATACTACCCTATATAGACCTCTGGTACTTTGTAGGTATTGACAAATTCACAGAATATCATTATTAAAAAATATTTGAGTTCACACAGTGTTTTTTCTTCAATTTATTTTTCAGGAAGTTAACTGAATCTTACTATAACTTTCTTGGTTTTATCTATATCAAATCAAGTGGCGCCCTCTGTCACTCAATAGTCTGAATTCACTACCATTGCTCGCCAGACGAAAAGCTGCTGTGCCTTGTAAGCTCTCATGAATTTTTTTTTAGATTTGAACTTCACAATATTTTTCAAAGTTTCATAAGTTTGCTACAACGTAAATGGCAAATTTTCTAGCAATTCCCCCACTTTTCTCAACATTTTTTATTCCAATTTGATCCAATTTGATCCAGACATAAGTTTTTCCTCTTTTTCAGATATATATCCCATGCTGATTTTCCCACTCTCCAAAAAACGAACATGTATCACATCCTGTTGAAACATGGAATGCAGGTAATCCATCGCAAGTACATTTTTGCTATATCGTAGATTGCATTAGATCTCCTTCTATTTGTGAAAGCTGTACCATGGCCCTTCTCCATATGTATATGGTATTGGATCTAACATTATCATAATTCCAATAATAATACAGAAGGAGAATGAAGACATATTCGTGTCATCTGATTTTATTATCATTTTTTTGTTACGCTGATGGGAAATGTGTGGAATCAAACGAGTGTCAGCTTCTTCATGATCGCATCTCAAATGGGATTCTTCTGTATTTCCAAAATGATGTATTTAAGAAATCACCAGATAAAATACAGTATACCTGGTATTGATATATGGGTTTTGTAACCTTCACATATATTTCTGCATCCTCCAATCGTTCAGCATTAATTATCTCCTCATTAGTAGGTAATCGTAAATGAGGTTCGATAAAATATTTGGTGACACACTTTATAAGGGATATTTTATTCGAAGTTGACTTCATCAGAAATACAATCAGGTTCATTTCTTGATCTATTTATGGAATAGGTACCTTATGCTGTCCTCTTCTAATATTTCCGCTGCTTTTTATTGCATTTTCTTAATCATATCGATCAAATATAATTGAAATTGTTCGACATGTCTGATGATCTTTGAATATGCGAATCATTTTGATCAGCAGTACTTCACCTAATTCCTGAAATGTTCTGAATGCCTTTGTATCAATTTCTTGTAGAAGTATCATGCCATCTATGAAATAGGAATCAATTTCTGGAGGTGATTCAAACATAGTCGGACAATATGTTTCGAATCGAGTAGAGAGATCGGATTCAGAAGTTTTCATCATAATTCTATCTTCATGGAGAATAAAGACAGGAACAGCAGTTGCTTCATAACTCATGATATCTGCGAAATCCATGTCCTTATACTGAGCTTGACAATTGATCAGAACCATCTGCAGTGATTATTTCACGAACTCACATACAAGTCATCCGTATCGAATAAAGAAACAATAAATACTGCCCAAGTTACAGAAATTACTTCATGACAGTGCCTATGGCGCGATGGACGCCGGCGGGGTTGCCACGACGAAGAAAACAAAGTGCATCATTGCGTTCAAATAGCTGCAGCTAATTCATTATCGAGAATGCATCTATATATATGCGAGACAAAATATTCGCAAAAGAAGTCCGCAGTTTTTGGTGTGTAAAATATTCCAATTGGATTAATGTTGTATGACTTTTAGGAAAATGAATAAAATACATTTTATTGAAATTTTCGAAAGTGAACTGAATTATGTGATTCATTCAATTTTTTTATTCAAATTGTGGAACAATGGATCAACATTACTGAAGTACATATATTGGCCTATCGAACAGCTGAAGAATCATCCAGATTATTGCAATAGATCAATAGTAACAGCGATTATAAATCAAAATTTGAAAATTTCAATTATTTTTCGTTTTTTCCTTATAACTTCTGTCTCGACCTACATGGCTTGTTGTAGATTTCCATTCCCTATGTAAAATCACGGGTCCCATTAAGTTATTCCGAAATTTTGGGTAGGTCTTTAAAACAAGCGATTTCGCGGCCTCTGCCACCCGCACTATGAAGACCACAGGAGAAAAAGAGTAAATGTCACAAAAAAATTTCTCGAGCGAAAGACATTCCAGAGTTTGAAGCATCCTCACTTTTCGGAAGTTGAAGGAAACTGAAATCAAACTACCTGGATCAATTTGATGAAGTATAATGAGCAATAAAGTTGAACAACTAGAAATAAAAATTGTATTTGAATGGAAAAATCATCGAAATCAAAAAAAGTCCAAAGATTCGAGGGAAAAATGGAAAATGTCCAAATAAATTGTGAAAGAACTGGAATGTTTACTCGCAATTATCTCCTCTGGTCCATTTTTCGATTCTTGCCTGACTACCTAATGAGCGGTGAGTTGCCATATAGTACATCTAGAATCTTTATAATTTGATAATTTTCTATGAATTCCACGCGGTATGAGTAGGAATCATCATGTAGCAAATTCATTCCATTCACTCAGACGTACTCGACAAGCCCAGTCAGTACACCTTTTTGTCGTCAACCTCTAAATATGTCGAAAAACTCTCTACCGAAACTCGTTTATATATAGAACGGCAAAGCTTTGAAATTATTTGCCAACAGACTAATTCCAAGAACTTATAAACTCCAAAAGTTGAAAATAATCCCGATACCTACCTCCTCTCCCTATTCTTCCTAGGTACTCACGATGTTCCCGAACATTAAAGGGATACCCTTTCGTACGCTCCAAGAGGAGAAAAAATGATGGCTGTATATCTCTCTTTTTTTTCTCATCTTTTGTTTGCCTGAGAGTTCACTTCGACCTTTTGACAGTGTGAAAACAACCTATTAAAATCACAATAGAATCTGTATTCAAGCAAGCACTGAGCTTGGACGTTTTTTTTTTCTCACATTTTTAAAGTAGACATTACGCGTTTTTTTCATGTAAACGTATTTCCGAAAGGGCATGTTAGCAGACTATGCTGCGTTATTGCTGTGGACGTCTGTTCATACTAAGAAGTAGTGATTAGGCTATCAGATGGCGGTGTCAATTCAATTTCCACTATATCGTGGCATCCTTCCTTTTTTCCCTGTGATGATCTTCAATTGTGGGGATATAATAATGAAGGAAATCATCAGGCATTCACTTTGAGCCATTTCAGAACGAATATTGAGTATAACTGCGAGGAAAGTTACATAATCAGTGTAGGAATTGGATATTGTATATTGTGTCACATTCATAGGAAAATTGAAATGTTTTTGATATGTACCGGTATGGAATTCCTATAGCCCAGAAGGTAGAGGTCCATTTATCTACAATTCGTCTCCAACTATTCAACGGTACTTTCGTTTATTACGACAAAATTGAGAAACTGCATTATTGGATAGTTTGCCATTGGACGCTGTGCGTATTTACTGGTTCCAACAAGATGGTGCACCAGTTCATAATTTCATAGTGGTTCGTCAAAACCTATGTGAGCGATTCCCAAGAAAATGGATTGGCACTTGATACACCCTGGCCAGCATGAACACCAGACCTTACTCCTTCAGCGTATTTTCTTGTGGAGCTAGGAACGAGGAACACTCACTTCGCTCAGTGTCTACAAACTGAAATGATGATGATGCGTCAGAATTCACTATCTACGTCATGCAATAATGATTTTCGCATTCATATATCTTATCATTTTGCTTTCTGCTAATTTAATAAATGATTATATTGAAGAACTTTTCATGATCATTTTTTCTAAACAAGAACATAAGCAAACAGAATATGTCGTATGCCATTGCAATCGTAATGAAAAATTTTTAGTCATACAGGGCGCACTATTTTTTCAGTGTCATATTCGAAACTGGAGTTGATGATAGTTTCTTAGGAACGAAACGTTGTACTGATATTTTTTGAATGTCATATTGTAGAGGTGAAGAAGTGGCGATGAGAAACTGACGTGGCTCTTTCGAAACTTTTTGAATAACTTCAGGAAGGAATTGAAAACTAATCGCCAAATTTAGTTTTTTCCTCCGAATATCTCCAGCAGTAACCAGGATCCGTGGGATTTCACGACATCTTTATATTGACCCCTAGATTTCGCAACTTTCGGACCATTCTACTATTCATCATCAGTAGATATACTGATAAAAAGAATTCCTTGGATTGAAGGAATTTGACTTCACCTCAAGGGCGCCAAGCATTTGAATAGGGCGGAATGCATGGTCATTTCGACCCAATATTCCAAAAACTTTGAGGCAAGCGCCTAAGTTTCTTTAGCAAGAAATTATATGAATTCGAGGCAAGAAACTTTGGTTTTGCCCTAATAACTGATGCTTTTGGCTTAAAATCGTAGTTTTCCGAACTTATGGGGAATGTTGAGGTAATTGCCATGATTTCTTTAGCCCAATGATATATGAGTTTATAGCAAAATACCCTGAACTAATCATAATGAACAATGATTTTTGGTCAAAATCATTGAGATATCATTTCAAAGTTATGAGATTTAAGATGAAAGATATGGTATTATTGTATTGAAATATAGGGCTTCGCTGTAAATACAGCAAATGTTTGATCCAATATCTTATGGTCTTGGAACACAATGTATATGATCTTGATGCGAATTCTCTGGAGATTTCATGAGAGGATACTCCTGTAAAATGTTGAAATAATAATTAGAATTTCAATTGATGTCTATAAAAATTTTGAGGATCATGTTATTATGAATCCTTAACAAAACCCCATTATTGGTTTGTTGATATTAGATTTAGTTCTGATGTTCTGACGAAAAAACGTTTTGCATTGGTTGAAATATACTTGAAAATTAAAATATCCCATCAACTTGTTTTAGCTTCTTATTTATCCTTGGGCGAAGAATTGTGGAAATCCTGAAAAAACAACCATTGATAAAAAACTCATTTATTTTATAAAATAACACATGAAACATTTTATATGATGATGAAATACCTATCTACTGAAATAAGTATAGGTGGGTACTTACCTTGAAATGTTTGCATCATATGGCTCAAACGCAACGCATCTAGAAGTTTTTCAAACTCCACTGAATCGCTCATGATCCACAGCACAACGCTACACGACAGATATGGCCGCTAAAATGCATTGGCAACGGGACGGTACTCGGCACGATGCAGAAGAAGAAGGATGATGGGAAGATGGGGTCGACCCATGCATTGCGCATGACTCAAACGGAGTCGGTATGTTTTCGGTTAACCTCGGGTGGACTCGATCTCATCAACGGTCTCAACCGAACGATTTCAGATCTTGTATCAAAGTCTTGTGATCTTGAGGTAGATGCAAACCAAGCAGGACTAGAGACAAGGTCGATGATGTTCTCTCAAAAGCGTTTACAGCCAAAAGATTCAAAACCTTATTACAAAAACAGCAATAATCTGCAGATGAGAGCAATGTATTCGAAAGGAAGAAATTGTCTTTGTCAGGAGAGAAAAGAATCTAAAAGCATCATTCTTTTGTCACCAATCGGGTATTTTTATCAGTGTATGATTCATTTTGGGTATTCATCAACACACTCTTTTATTATTTTTTTTTCTATTTCTTATTGGTTTGGCAATTTAGGAAAGCGTGTTTCTTTAGTATTTTCAATTTCTCAAAATTTTTTCCGATATACCTAACTGAAAACGAATTCGAAAATTTTTGGTTGCCGTTGGTATATATGACCCATAGAATGCAAAACTTTGTTTCCATTTGACCACATTCATATTTTCTCCTGCTGCTTCCGAAATCCTAATCTTGAGCACACTGTATACACAAGTTTCAAAACTGTCTCGATCTACTGCGATATCATTATTTGAAGGAAATCAACTACGACTTGCCAAGAGGAGGCGTTAGCGTTATAAGGAATAGAGAAATAAAATGATGAAAGTGTGTGTTGATAAATACACAACATATGAAATATAAGCAGCTCCGTAATCAGTAGATATAATGTATGTTGTGTTTTCATCAACACACTCTTTCATTATCAATTATTTCATTTTTCTACTCACATAACTAAAATGGCATTTAGCGTACGGATATGTGTCACGCTAAATGATCGATTAATCACGGATTGACGATCTCTGATTTATTCTAGCTATTAAACACATTACCATTGCAACACGATTTCTTAAACACATTACCATGGCATCACAGTTCATTAAACACAGCTTCAGTAATTTGAGACATGTCTGGCCTGTCAATTGTAGGAACTGTCCAACTGTCGTTTTCGAATTTTGTATCAGATTTATTCAAACAATTTCCGTTTGTAACGGAATTCTTCAATAAAAATGTAATATGCGAAATGTAGACGGAAGTGAAATCGAAGAGAATGTTTTGGTCTCGGTTTTGGTACTTGCAAATCTCCAAGAAGTGTGAAAATGAAGCATCCACCTTTGAGAAGAATTTATTGATTCTGCGCTTACGTGAAACAGAGGTTAGTAAGCAATGGACTGAACACATCTACAACCAATATCACTTATACGTGTCTCGCTGGTTGCATGCAGTTGCATGTATTATGTTCTCAATTCCCATTCCTTTCGAATTATTTCGAAGGTTAGCAGGAATGGCAGGTATGTAATGTAATTTTCGGAGTTCGTAGAAAAAGCATAGTATGTAACGCGTTTATAAACTCTTCTAGACACTCGTTTATTAAACACTCGCTCCGCTCTGCTCCGCTCGTGCTTAAAATTCTCGTTACTAAAAGGACGTTTATAACACTTGTTACATAATATACTATTATTTCTAGTTTGGCTATCTAGAAAAGCGTGTTTCCCCAGTTTTTCAAAGTCCTCTTGAAGTTTTTCGATATAACTGATAACCTGAAACCAATCTGGATTTTTTTGTTGTCGTTGGCATGACCCACAAAATGCGCAACTTCGTTTCCATTCCCATTCCCATACTGTTCATCCTCATCTTGGGCACACTATATATACACAAGTCCCAATACTGTCTCGATCTAGTGCAATATTCTTGATTGCAGGAAATCAACTACGATTCGCCGAGAGGAGGCGTTAGCGTTATCACCGAAAAGGGCGACAACACCGTCAGCTATTTGTTGGTCCAAAGGGCGAAGGACTCGGATTCTGGGAAATATACATGCAACCCTTCCAACGCCAATCCCAAGACGATCATCGTACATGTCCTGAATGGTGAGTGCTCATACACGTCTAGATCTGTTCTGTTCCCATAGTAATTGACTATTCATGCTTTTCGCGAGCATGGACTGAATACAGGGTGATTGACTGAGGAAATCACGGTGATGAAAATGATGGGTCTGCATGATATCGTTACGTCGTTGCAAACACTAAATGAGAAATAAATCATAATTTGCTACCATCGAGAGCTTCAGGAAAAAAATTTACTTCATCGGCAAAATAAGGTGATACTTGTCAGATCCTGTAACAGAAAGTATAACGATATGAAAATTGCATCGGTATAATTCTTGCACCCATATTCTTATCGTGATCTGCATGACTAGCAATCTGGAAAAGAGACGTTGAGCAAGTTTTCATCGATACTTGGGGTACAGATGTGCTGTCCATAGTGACTATATCAGAGTTTTCCAACAATATATTTGTCAGTTAACTGGCAGGTCAAGTTTGGTTAGGAATTTAGACTGTTTATATTGTGGACAAGGAAATATCAATGCTAATGGATGAATGTTTATGTTGCTAACAGATTATATCAATTGGAAGATTCACCAAAGAGCCTCTTATTTATCCTGTCTAGTCAGAAGATACATTTTGGCACCCACATGAATCCTCATCTGAATCAGCTACCTAATTTTCGAAATTATCACCCTACCCACAAATTTGCTGGTGATGTGGACACGACGAACTTTCGATATTTATATGTGATCATGAACAATCGGAAGCTTATAATCAATGCAAGTCAGCGCTGTCAGTGTATATCTTATTATGAGAAGTAAATCACATATATCGTACTACCCTGTATGTCGATCGAAATGTGACGACATACTATCAATGCATACTAATTACGTTAGTTCAATTCCAGAATCTTAGCGCTACATTTATCAATTATCGAGAAATAATCTGTTGTTAGAAAAATTATGAGTTCAACTCTGTGAATATCAATAACAAATTATTATAGATCAAATGTTAATAGAGAGAGATAATGATAATTCAGCTAGTGCTATCGATTCCTGAAGCCTCAATCAATAAAATTTTATCACCCTGTATGTTACACATCCAGAACTTTGGATTCGAATCTTCAATCCTTTCGGATGAAAATATAATGTGGTTGCTCCTTACAGCCAATGAATGTTTCATAATCAAACATTTCCTGAAAGAAAATAATGATTTCGAGAAGACAGGTTTTGTGATGTACATCTATTCATAAAAAATATAGAGATACCAGAATGCGATATTATAGTATGAGAAAGTACATTGAAAATAAAGAATCAAATGGAAAACCGTGGGAATTCACATTTGAATACACATAAACGTACACCTGTGTTGAATTATTCAGTTTTATTACTCGCAATTTCCTTCCTGCGGTGCGAACTTTTCAGCCCATGCTGCATGAAATAAAAATGTAATTATATTTGCCTAGGTTATCCACCTATATTTTCCACTCGAATTCTAACCCGGGCATTAGAATAATGAGATTATATCTGAAAACGTGACTAGCTTGATTTTATTCAGAATTATCTGATGCTGAAATAGTCATGTTTGCTTGGACGGTTCGTTTTTCCACATTAAAATTGAGTATCAGTATTCAGCAGTTATTGAATGTTAATTTTTTCTCCTATGAAGGTTCTCTCATGTCACATTCAGTAAGTTTCTGTTATTTTGTCGATTCTCTGCTCCGAATGCACCAATGCACTCATCTACATTACCAATTAGAATTTACAATGTGTGCAAATTTTGTTTCATCAAGCTCGGATTTTATCTAAATGAAACAACCATCTGATGAGGAATGCGATCGAAGGTCTCTTAAATTTAGTGACAATCAAAGGATTGAGATGAACCTACAAATATTATCATGGAATGTTGTCATGAACCTAGCAATCTTATGGAAAAGAGTGAGCGACATATCTAATCAAAGAATAAACTCATTATTTTGGAAAATACAACGAATTATCAATAAGCACAAATTTCAATTGTTCTCAACATGGACCAAGGTATGTAAAAATCGAGTCACTATACATCAATCGTTGTATTTATCACGAGTTTATAGCAGAGTGATTTTTTGATTCGATGTGTCTCGAGGGTGATATAACAGAATCATATGAATGTGAGTGATCTGCCCGATGGAGCCTAATGAATCTCATGCATACATTTAACTGCCTGGTCGAGGGTGTTTATTTGATAACGATCAAGCTTCTCATTATCCAAACTGATAAATTCACGTATCATTTGTCCATCTTCAATTCGATGATGATTTTTATTCCTGGTAGATATATAGAATTCACTCTACTTGATAAAGAATCGAAAATATGTTTCAGCGAAGGAATCGGTTTAATAGATATCAGTGCGATTTCTTCGAATTGTTTGGCAGCTCACTCGAGAATCAAGAATAATTGACTACCTTGTATGGATAAGTGCCGATTGCATAAAGCTTCAGCAATCATCGCTTCCGACTCATTAGCTGTCTGTCATATTCTCAATCCATACAGCCTCGAGTGTAACATTTTCAGTTGTTCAATTCACGATGATTATGAAATTACCTGAACTGCTGATTCTGATTCGATTCTGATTCATTTCGTCGACAGAAGACATCGATCCCCAAGTGGAACATAATAAAACCGTCAAGATAATTTTAAATCCCACGGTCACATTGGGGCACAATCGAATCTTCATGGGCAGCAACTGAGTTATCAGTTGTTTACTGTCTGGATATGACAATAATTGGTCTTCGTGAAAATCAGGCGCCCATTGTTCTCGTGAAAGGCGTCGAAACATTTCGCGACTGCCGCATCAATTATCCCACTTCTGCCACCAAATAACGAATTCAACAGCAGAGCCCTCTGACACCAGAAGACGCTAAAGTGTGCGACACCGTTCCGGCTCAGCTTACAACCGATTCGGGTTGTTTTTAAGTGCCAGCGCAGCGGTTACATATTAGCGGAACCACGGAGTAAATTACCGCAGACATTTCTCCCTACGGTTAATGGGCGTTAAAGTTGGATCGATTCTGATGGATAATGATGTTCGTATGAATGTAATTAGCTCAAGAAGTGGAATAGTTGGCGGGGTTTGGAGTGATGAATGAGATTGTGATTGGGATGGGGGTGGAGTGACAGTGCAAGAACGATTGCGAGCTCAATTTCATCTACGGAAATGGAAACCACTAAATGAAACAGAGGAAATACTTTGATATTTTTTATTTATTGATTGGCTCCGTTTGTCGAACATACAGTAGCGGCTCCTCAGAGGAGGCAACGGAGGCTGAGCCGCCTCCTCAGAGATATTGCTCAAACTCATATTATCTATACTTTCTTATTAGAAGGACACCAAAATACATGGATTATGATTTCATTTCCTGTTTTTAGGTGAATATTTTTGAATTGACAACAGTGTTTGCCCACGCATCACTAGTTGAAGTTTGCAAATCACGCGTAAAATATTCAACTTGGCAACATCTGTAGGAGGCTAGACTCCTTCACAAAGCGCAACCCATGCGCGCAATGCAAATGCTTGAATACGTTCAAAGCGGACAATCCAGCGCGGGTGCATTGTTCAGGTTTATGTTAAATTAATGGTTAGAGGCTCTATAAATTTCTGGAAAATGAGTGCTTCAAACGATAGCGAGTTAGTGGAATACTTTTTGGTGAACCTATTCAGTGCTTTGTCTTATGAAGATAAATTGATTGTGAAGAACAAACGTCCGATACTGGAATTAAAAAATAGGATTGTAACAGGTAACAAACAAAATCGTTAGTTAAATTCTGATAATTATAAAAAATATATCTGTTTGACGGGATCTGAGGTAAGGAATAAGCTATTTTGTTGGTACTGCGTATTATTTTCAACCGATAAGTGATCATGTTGGGGGCGATTAGGATATAATGATTTGAAAAATTTGCCTCGCGGATTGGATAGACACTGCAAATCACAGGAACACATCTCTTCAAGTATTGAGTTCAGGTTAACTGGTAAACAGATTTTCATTAGAGCTATTGATTTGGGTGAGTAGAGAGTTTTTTTTCACAATAAATCACATATCATTCAGCCTCCTCTGTCATGAAAGGCACGAGCCGCCACTGGGAACATACCATTTGAATAGTTAGTTGGATCTATGAAATTACTGTTCTTCTAGAGAATACATAATATAGTCAAAGATCTTAGAGTTGAATGATCATAATAGTTTATCCACTAGGTATATATAGGAACATATGAAGAGTGTGAAGGTGAGAAATTATGATACACATAAAACAAAGATCCGAGGATGAATTTATTCTCGAATAGTGTGTAACACTTGTTACGAGAGAATTGAAATATCAATAAAAATGTTAAAAATCAACTAACTGTTAGATCTTCATATGATTATATGAATCATTGAGAAATATACAGGGATCACGGTCGATGGCACATTAGACGTTTACAGATTGCCATTATTACCAGTTTTCTAACAACAGGTATCAGTTCACTTGATTTCTCTGTTTCGTCATTATTCGGATAGTTTCGAATACCCACGATTACGCCACGTGCTGACTGCGCAACTCTTCTGCACTTCATTCCATTAATGAACTCAGACTGTATCTGTACTAAGAATATACGTACCTTTGGTGTTTGCGAACACTTATGCGTACCTTTTTCTGTTCTGGAGCATTTGTGTTGTGCATGTGAGTTAAGTGATTGTGACTATTCCAAAAACATCGATCCCAGTGAAATTATCACTATGGAGCGACTAGCCCCAGGTCGAGAGTTGAAAAATAGAAGCAGCATAAGCAGTTCATCGACGACACTTTGAAACAGCAGGGTTTGGCGAAGTTTACGCAAAACTCCTCTTGCTTTCTTGGTGAGTAATATACCATTCCTTCTTCTCCGTGCAACAAGAAATCTTTTTGAGCACACACGTTTTTTAGTGATATGTTTTTCTCCTTCCGAAAATGATTCTAAACCCTCTAGTTCCTTATGTTGGTTCATCATTTGCAATTGATTGTTACATCTGATATTATATGTCC